TTTTTGCATGCTCTAGCAGGCTTACTTGAAACATTTAATAACCTCACACAGGACATGCATGGACCAAGGCTGCTGTCTGCTATTCTTTGCACAGAACAAACCGTCAGTTACTGCATGAAGTCCTAATGTAAAAGGACAGATCAAATGCAGCTCACCAGTGCACAGCATCCCTTTCTAACTGCTTTACTTAAGAACGAGAGCAGCAATCCCATGACCTCTCTACAGTGCAGAATGTGCTACCTAGGCTACTGGTATGGAATAAACCTCTTCTACCCTGAGATGCATTTGGATCTGCAAAAGAAAAACAGCACAGCGAACTGAACCACCTCCCTGAGGGCTTGGGAAGGAGAAAGGGGAGTCCTGTCAGTGGCTCACATAGCAACACTGAAGCTGTTCCTCATGTTTTTAGTTCAGATTCAAACTTTGTATGTTCTATCTGGGTGTGAACCAACTTCCCTTTCCTGTCCATTTGATACCATTCTTACAAGAAGGCATCTTATTTGCCTGGGTATAGGATCCTCTGAAGTGACTCCAGAAGCACAAGCACCTGCTGGCTGAGACCAGATCTCCTCGCATTAAACAAAGCAACAACAAATATGCTTCAGTAAGATTTCAAGGCATCTATCCATACAATGGACTGTCCATACAAGACGGACGCTAGCAGAAAACCACTGTGAAGCTGCAATAATTTTCCTGAGCAGACTGCCCAATATTTTATGAATTACCATTTGCCAGCTCTTTTTCCACATGGTACACTAAAGCAAGAAAGGACTTACAATGAATGAAACTGCAGTATGAAACTGCAGTAACTCTGGGTTAGCCTGCCTCTGCTTGCCTACTCTCTGGTTTGTTAGAACCTGCTACCATTTTTATCCAGTTTATAAAGTTAGCAATTAAATCTCCTCTCTTGTGTTTCTTTGTGAGAGCTGCATTTGCCTGAGAGCACACACACGACAGAATTATTAAACTGTATTGCAGCACACTTTATTTCAAACAAAAATGCACCAGCAATGCTAGAATGGACTATAATACAGAACCATTGGTCTCATTTCATACTGACAATGTGAAAGGACAGTTAAAACTCAGTGCCAAGTCTCCCCTACTCCTCTCTTTCTGGAGAAATAGATGCCTTTCTTACTGAGTTTTGTTTGTTCCAGGCTCTTGAGTAACAGAATTGAGCAAAAGCAAGCAACATGTGGGATTCACAGACAGTGTACAACACAAACCCACCTAAAACAGTTTGGTTTACCAAAACAATTGTCAACTGATAATTAAAAAGCCAGTAAAAAAGAACTAACACAGTGGAAAGCAAAGATGAGAAATTCTTCTGTGCCTCAGTCGTTGAGGGTATTTTTTGTTGGTTTTGTTATTGTTTCTGTTTTCAAATAATATCCATTGTAGCCAAGAGGAAAAAAAAAAAATCTCATTCAAACACAACTTCATTTCTGGTAAAGCTGACATGATATTTGGCCTTGGGCATTTGAATCAGAAGAGGGAGCATGAAACGTGCAATGCAGCATTAGTGAATGGTTCCACCTTAACGTAATTGGTTGCTTAGCTACAGACATTTACATTTGCTTTGCTGTAGGCCTACTGCTCGCTTAGAAATTATGGTCATTTTTAAATATGAAATCCACGTGTTCACTATTAGGGACAGATATATAAAAAAATACACAAAGAAAATCCTGTAGAGATGAGAACAAAAACAAGAATTCCACTTGAAAAGACATCTCCATCTTTAAATCCAATGTTTTGGTGACATAATTAAGGGGATCTTTTGAAAAATCGTAACAGGTAAATAGGAAGTGGAAAGTTGAGAAAAATAGTGACTAAAGAATGGGTGTGATTGTTTCTCATGATACAATAAAGGCATTGAGCAGGTCTTCACATAATATTTACTGTTATTCACTGTTACATGCTTTACAGTGGTAGTTTAAAGTAGTATCAGCACGTATATATATCCTGCATTCTTACTGGCTAGGACCCCAAATTAAGTGTAAGGCAAAGGTCAATTTTTAAGATCCTATTGATATATACAAAACTATGATTCTGCTTTATTAAGACAATTATCAATAATGTAATCCAACATTGAAGTTACACAGAAAGACAAGAAGCTCTACACTCATACATACACACCTCCCTCCAGCTCCTTTCAATCTACTGCAGAGCCCGAGTTGCATATGCACAAAGAAATTTCAACTTGTTCCACCAGGAAAAGTCAAGTTGCACCATCACTGCAATATCTTACCCTTCCTTGCCAATCTCTCCAGCCTTCAGTGCTTCGCCAAGAGGCTCTTTACCAAGTTTGGTCAAGTTCATCTTGGTCTCCAGGGTCATTAGAAAAGATCCGTTGTAAGACATCTCCAAATCAATCCAAAGCCCTGAAACATTAACAACAGGCTGTAATTTTCAGTCATAACAATTTTATTTTGATGTCAAAACAAAACTTTTAAAAAAAAACAAGTCTATTCATCACACTTTACCCAAAGAGAAAAAATACCTTTTTGCCAACTGATTACATCATTAATTCAGAATGAATTACAAGCTTATGAAAGCAAGTTGTTTGATAAGCTTAATGTGAATAGAGGAAGTTAAAGGTTAAAATATGCATCAAAGGCAAGGAGAAAGACAGATCAGTCTGGCACAGCTAATGACCTATAAAAGGAGCGTGATGTGATTTGCACACACCTAAACCGCTTAAGAGATCTGAATCAAGATAAAGAACATGGAATACAATCAGGGATTCACTTCAAATACTGTCTGTAGTACTGCTCCAAGACAAACTGCAATCAGGACCCCTCTGTATTACACCCTCCAAACGAAGCTGCAATCCCAGAACAACATCTTTTGTTACACAACATGCTGTTTGGCCTTGCTTTTAACAATGGCTTATTGAAGCAGTACAAAAACCTTCTCCAGTAACTCAACTGTTGGACTTCTTATGACTCACAGGTCATTACTGAGAACAATCCTGGATGTGTAGGGTTAAGGTAAATCCTATTGTCTGGGCAAACCTCACTCACAATATCACCCAAAAAATCGTCTTAAGGAACAACTGCAACATTACATCCCACCTCTTCAGTGACACCTGCAGTCCTACTGAGTGAAGAAGCTGTTGGGTATTTGCCAGCCAGAGATGAGAATTCAGATGCCACTGAGCACAGATGACAAATTTTTCTTTTCTAGACATCACAGCTGCACACGATGTGCCTTATCAGTATCTAGCATATCAGATGTGCCTCCCACTTTTATTTGGAAACAATTAAAGGCAAATACTGTTTAGTGTTGACTGATGTAGAAGAAATACCCTTAATTAATTAATGACTGTTTTCTGTGAAAGCACACCAGAAGAATGCCACTGTCCCCAGGTTCCACCTGTTTCTATCAACAGAAACACACACAGCTCCCAGGGCACTGACACACAATGAGCTTTACACGAGAAGGAGCACCGACCCAAAGTACTCTTTTCCATCAATTTTCTAATGCTGTATAAGAACAAAACACAAGAACTCAAATAGAAGCATATATACAGTTTTCCTCTTTACAGTAATGAAGTAAGAGTGAGATCATCAGAAATAGGAAAACAGCTAAAGAGACCTTTTAGATAATTGGAGAGTTGTCTTTAGAGCTAAAACTGTTTTAAGAGTAGATCAAAATAAGGATGCCAACACAGAGGGGGGTGATAATCTTTCTGATCAGAAAATGTTCACATGCATTTTCCAAAGGGAAAAGGGAGGCAAAAGAGGGAGAAGGGTTGAAGGACTGGACAGATGGCACCATTTATTCAGATAGCCTTGATAGAAGTGTCACTGAAATAGAACTGTATTAACAGAAACAAGAGTTTCTTCCCCAACAATGTATGTTAATATGTTTAGTTACTTTCCAATCTTTCCTTTGTTATCAAGCACTGATAGAAAAGTATGGATGAAAAAAAAAAAAAGCACCTCTGTCTGAGATTTAAAGCCTTGTGAAAGGTAACCAAAAATGACTGATTGTCTCAAGTTAGTTAAAAGTCTTCAAAGTGTTTATGTACAAAAGCAAAGCAGGTTATTCCTGTAATTGCTCAATGCAAGCTCTTAGAAACTCAGCAACTACGAGTTCACACGTCATTCAGCAACGTGAAAAATGACACAGGATTACAAATTCTACAATAAATGTTTGCTTGTCACAGTTTAACTGAACAAGAAACTGAAGGAGTTCTTGCTGCCGTTGTCAGTATTTGATAGAGCCAGAAATATTCGGTCTCCTAAACCCAATCTCATGACTGAGAACGGCAGTCCCTGGTCATAACTGGAGTTATTAGAACAGAGAGAAAGGAATTCAAAAAATGTTTAAATCTGTTTCACTCAGATAACCTCTTAAAGAACAGAACAAAACAATCGCGTTAACCCAAACAAAGCCTGGTACACTAAGGAATTTAATACAGCTTTGTTGATTTTCAATTTATTTCAATCAAGATTTACAATTTTCCTTTGTACAAAGTACTGAACGTACATCTTTGATCTACCTCTAGAGCCCCCTGCATCTCTGGCAGAGGAGAATTAGCTTATTCCATCTATTAAGTTTTTATTTTTTCCCCCCCAAAACAGTCAGTTTCTCATGCCAATAAAACAATTTGCTCTTTTCAAACAGGTTCTTTTATAAGGCTCAGCTCTAAGAAGCTGTGAGAGCAACGTACCCCGTGCTGCAGAGATAAGGCTTTCCCCAGAGCTGCAAGTCTCAGGCAAGAAGCCAACAAACAAAAGCATTTGGATACGATACGTACAATCCGCAGTGTTTGCTCTCGTGCAGCTTTGGGTTGTTTGGTTTTGTTCTTTTTAATTTATTTTTGTTTAAATGTTCAAGAGAGTTTTAACAATTCCCCAGTGTCTGTTCTGTTCTCGCTTTAACAAGCAAAAGGTTACAGCTTGCTGACCTCCTCAGCCTTTAAGCAGTGCTTTGAACAGCATGTCTTTTACACTACTGACAGAGTTTTATTTATTTTCTCCTAAATCTTCCCATAACATCAGACTTTTGCAAGAATAGAAGATAGCTGTTCATCAGAACTAGTGAAAAGCACTGTAGGAAGAGTGCCAGAAATCAAAGCTACAGTTCAATATATCTTAAAAGAGACCACATCCAATCCATGTGATTGTGTGATCCTAATTCTGACCCTTAAGAGCAGTCAGAGGAACAGAGGTTTTGAAGGAGCAGAATGACACTGCAAAGCACTTAAACTCATCCCAGGCATACCCGTGAAATTTAACAAGTGTTACTTCATTGAATCAGTAACATATACAAGAAAAATCTTAAATATCAAGAATATTTACAATATTAAAATATTGTAAAATTGAAGCAGAGTAAATTTGCAAATTTAAACATTCACAATCAAATCGGTAAGAAGGGCAATAACAAATAACCCAGTTATCTGTTCCAACTTTGCTCTATGTTTGTTGTTATTCTAAATATACTACTGAGATTTGCTGAAGTTTTGGCTTGTTCTTGGCCCATAATTAACAACCTCTCCAGAGGTCTCTGATATTCTTAAGTAGCATTATCAGTTTACTAAATTCCTACCATCTCACTACTGGCTCACTGGTTTAGCACCATCTAGAAATGATTTAGTCTTTCTATCTTCATATGAAAGTTGGAAGAGCAGTTCAGAAGTAAGTTGTTTGTCATGTAATCCATAGCTGTACCACATCAGGTCCTCCAAGGAAATCTTTCCCTTTAGATCAATTAGAAACTGCTCCACCTCAAGTCAGTTAATTCTCATACACATCATCCGTCCAGTGTAACAACACAGTAAATAAAGGAGTGAATGGACTGAGAGCAGACAAGTTATGAAACCCTTAATAAACTCAAAAACAATTTCAAATGAAAGACTGCTCTGATTACACACCTTAGAAGAAAGATAATGACTAACTCTTCTCAGCACACAGGAGAACAAATACAGAAGAAGCTAAAATGCATTCACCATATTTTTTTTCTTTCTGTGAAAGTACTTAGGAGACAAGAGTATCCTCCAATATACTCCTGCAACTAAATTCAAGCCAGGAAGAGGAAAGGAGAAAAAAACAAAACTTCTAAAAAGCAGTAAAGTAGCAGTATGAAAATCATTCAGCTTAAAGAAAATTCATCTTTAACAGTAGGCACACAGACACTGTAAAATAGAGTTGTTTGCTGTTTTTTTTTTTCCCAAAGCAACACTACAATTTTTGTTTTCCAATTTATTACTGTTGCGTTTTCTGAATCACTGCTTTCAAAGCAGAGCAACTTCTAGAGAGCCAAATCTATTTTCTGCTGCAGTACAGAATCAGTTCTTTCCTGATGAGATGTGCATTGTTCTCTGTAGTCCACAACAGAGAGAGATACATCTGCCACTTGTATGCTAATTTTGGTTTAGTTCTGTAATGAAATTGAATCTATAGTTTTTCCCAATGGAAAGACATGCTCACATTTCATTAATTTCTGTATCTGTAGAATTATGTTTATATCAAGCCTGATGCTACAGAGATCTCTCAGTACCTTGGTAGAATAAATTCTTATTAGGTGTGCCTTCCTTAAATTGAAACACCTGCAAGAGCAAGAGATCAAAACTCAGTTCTACAAAGATACAAAGGCACAAACCTGGCGAATATAAAAAAAAGGAACATGTATTTACCTCTGTAATCAATAGAAGGTTTGAAGGCTTGAAGGATCTTCGGCACTGCTATCCCCATGTCAAGCTCAGTCAGTGTTAGCTCATTCATGAAGTATGGCAGCTATATGAACAGAACATAAAAATCAAGTTCACATTGTGAAACTATTGACCATCCTTTCCTGAGAGTAGGAAGGTCATTAAATTTAGGAAATAGATTGAGCCATCAGTGAAAGAAAACAAACATGATTACACAAACTTCCTCAAATTCTAAGATTTCACATTTGTTAGTTTCAAAATATTTTAGGGAGAGATTTAGCATGTGAATTTAGAGAATGCTTTTAACTTTTATGTTTAGGTTCAGGTGTTGACTTCAAGTTTCCAGGATGCTTTGCAGTCAAAGCATGAAAGCAGCTCAAGAGCAGTCTAATTCCTACTTCACTAGGAATATAAACCAAAGATTTTTTCAGATTTTAAGTTCAGACAGATATTTTAAAGTTGAAGTTACATCAATGCCTTAGCTATTTTTATTAAAGGCAAATTATTTCATAACACTTTAAATACATCTCAAAATTTTAAAATTACAATACTAGGAGTATTTCAGTTATTTGAACATCTGTTTACTTGTAAGCATTGTTAGAATTTCTGTCTCTTAAGATTTAAAGCTTTAGCCTATCAAAATACAACCATCCCCCATACTTAGTCTTTCCACTCAACTGTTTCCAATTAGATGTTTGAATATCCTGCTGTCACAAATGTGGAAACAGCCAGGGCAGAATTAGGTTACTGCTTATTTCCCAAAGCACAAACAACACTATCTCACAGCTGGTGCTGGCAGCTAAATTCCAGAGCTCGTCAACAAGCCTACATCTTCCCTGGCCTTCAGGAACAGGCAAACTCCTCCCCCAGCATCAGGAGCTCAACAAGCCAATGATTAACTGCTGCTGTACAGAAGTTACAGAATGCAAAGGAAAGACCCAGAAGTCACTCAAAAGCAACACTTCTCCCTTCACCTTTTAAACTTATGCAGTCAAACAATTATATCCCATCACCTTGAAGCTTAACTACTACCCCCCACCAACCTCTCCTGCAAGTGCTGCATGCCTGAAGGTGGTTCTCTGACCTCCTCTTTCTCTATAGGAATCTACTGTTTCCCATAACAGATTTCATTTAAAACTCTATCTTGACAATTCAGTGGAAAAAAAATCATCTAAAACATTAGTACAGTAACCTTGGCAATAGAGACCTGAGTCAGTAAGCTTAATAACTTATAGCCAGCTCTACTTACTCTTAAAGTAAATACAGTAATATTTCTACTTTTCAACACAGAAACGTTACAGACATGAATAGTTGATCAGAAACTGAAGTAACAAAGTCAACTTGTCACAATCCCACTGTGAAATGGATAGTGAAACTCGCTTGAAACTCTGCATCACGTTTATCCACCCCAATTATTTTTCTAGATATCCAGACCTCTGTTAAAGGAGTTTCTTCTACTGATTCTGAACTCAAAGAAACACGTAAAGTACATGTTTCCAGATTAGTTACCTTTATTTTACTAAGTTTCATTTGGATCTTCTTTGACACTAGATCAGACCAGTATTTTTCTCCTAAAAAATCCCAAAATATTCTTCCAAGCAAAGCATTCACCCAGACCTCCTGTTCTTCTTCCTCAGCTTCCACGTGGGCATCAGGTAACTGAAAACACAAAGCAGGTTATCAGCTGTGGAAATTCTATTCAAAGGTCAGAAAAGGTCTCATTTATACCAGGAAGTTCTGTGTTACAGCCTAGGTAAGAGCTCTAATGTTCAACACACACGACAGCTTTACAGCCATGTCAACTGGTCTGACCTAAGCTTGCCTGTCATCATCCTGACATGCAACAGAGCAAATGAGACTATGCTGCTATGACTTCACCTCTGGCAACGAAATGAGAGGGCTGTATGTGTTTTAACCTCTGGCAGAAAAAGCAGATCATCTCAGAGTGGGCAGACATGTCTGTGGCAGAGACACTCTCCCTTCCCAACAGATCTTACAACAGCTATGCTACTCTTTTTATTTAGAAAAAGAGAAAAGGAAAGCCCCAAATTACATACAGTTCTGAGAAGTCACAAACTAAAGATAAATACAGTACAAGGAAACATACTCTTCCTTCCAATGGTTGCATATAGGTTTCAGGAAACGATATTGTTCCTTTGGCTGCATAAAAGGTTTTGTTTACAGTCCAAGAGAGTTACATGTTGGTTTACTGGAGAAACCATCTCAGAACATATGAAGATACTGCATGTTCAGATGTTGCACCTCTGACTACAAACAGGAAAGCAAAAATAGCTGAAATTATCTGGGAGGTGTACATAACACCATCTATTTCATTAGAACCAGCAGGCTGGTACTTTACGAAGGCAAGACAAGGTATTTAATTGTCTTTGAACTACTTGCAACAAAAGGAGAGTTTATCATTATTACAGGTAGAAAGTCTGAAGCCAGCAGAAAAGCAGTGCTTTCTAAGAGCAATCATGTAGATGCTACAGTTCTGAATATCATTTCTTGGCAATGATTGCTCTCAGTGGCTGCAATCTCACACAGTAGCTTCTGCTGTGACTCACTGTGTCCAAGTTTCCCACCTGTTGATCTATTTATAGAAGCATTTTGATCCCTGCTCAATTCAGCAGTGAATTCGTCACTGTTTCTGGGGCTGTCAGGAGCCAGACTGGCTTTTTTCCTGGGGGAGCTGAAGACATTTTTTTTCATATGCTATACTGTGGCTTCCAGTGCCTTTCTGAACATTTATGAATGTCTGTCAAAGATGCAGAACACAAATCACACCTTTGAAAAGAAAGGTGATCATACTTTTTGTTAAGATTCCATCTACTACGTGTTGTGTTTTATACCAGAGTCTTACAGAGTGATTCTTAAATGTGCTAGTTGTCCCCCCCCCACTTATTTCTAAATGAAGTAGTTAACAAGATAAAATACAACACCATCTTTGAAGCATCTCTGGGGAAAAAGTATTACCTTTTTCACAGCTGTAGGGCTGCTATCTGCACTGAGGACTGGACTACCCGATGGGCTCTTCTTTTCCTGTGGGACACACTTTGCCATATAAATATTGTAGTCCAGGAGCATTTTCTGCCTCAGATTGCCAGCCAAGTCCTTGTGTTTAGGCTGGGATGCAATTTCTTCCACGCTTCCCTTGCTGCTGCTACGACTGTGTGTAAGAACTCCTGACTGACTCTCTGTTCTACCATGTGCTGGCAAGATCCCTAAATCAAAAGGAATAATAGTTGTTAAACAAAAAAGGGATTTGACAGTCCAACAGCAGAACCTATAATCAAACATTTCAAGGAACAAAACAAGCTAGCAGATTTAATTTATTCTGAAAAAGACCCACATAGTGCTTTCTCATTCCAAAGGACAGAAATTCCACAACTCTGTATTCAACTGGTCACAAACTTAAGATTTCCAATAACCTCGACATGACTCAGCACTCAGGAGGAAAACTCAGCTGATCAATCCCACATTTAAATACAGACACTCACACATGTACAACATATGGCAGAACTCCCAACAGTTCTGCTGGGTAATGCCTAAAATAAAAGTCAGGCGATTAAAACGTACCTATACCTAATTTATTTTTTAAGTTTAATTATAGACTGTTACAATTCAGAAGACTGTCAAAAGTACATAACTAATAGAATTCTAATTATCCATTAATTCTGCATTTGTACTTCAAGAAATTGTAGGCCAGAAATAATGACATTAACCTTTAAAAAGCCTCTCAGAGAGATGAAGAAAAGCATGAGTCATTCTGATTAAAAATCAGAGGATGGCTTAAAATTAACATCTCAAATATTTGTTCATTACCAGATTTGTTTGATACGTTTATTGTTTGGTATACATTAGGTCTTTGTATTTAAAAATTGAAAATGTGTTTTGCTGTTAGGTTAACCCAATAATAGGGACTGTATTCTTTACAGCAGACTGGAGTGAAAGAACAGGTAACAATAGGACTAAATGCAAGTGTTGTCATCTGTTTCAGCAGATGAGAAGCAAAACAGATGGAACAAGTAATCTCTACAAAAGTTACAGTCATTGAAAAACAGTGTACTTACATAAAATAGTCTAAAAATATTAAGAAAATTTGAGGATATACTGCCAAATACACATCCAAGAGAGAAAAAGCTGGTGTACAACAAGAGGAATCAAGAGGCCAAGACAAGGAGCGTGAGGGTGCCTTTGGTGTTACTTGTTGAGACCACAAAAGCTCCAAGCTGCTAATAACTATCACTGTGAAAACATAACTTTGATTTGCTCCTTTTAATAGATAGTTTTTGGGGAAAAAAAATACATATATGATACACATATGAATACCTGGCTTGCTGGAAGGCTTCTTGGCTTCAGACTTGAGCTTGGATGCTAGAAGGAACCTTCTGAACCACTCCTCCTTCTCTCTACCTGTCCTTCCAAAGAGATAAAGCACTTGATCCTTTTGGCTAGTGTACTTGGCTCCATCCTGAGCTTTCTTGGATTCCTCATTGTTCAAGTCTACTTTCTCAGAAGACACCTTTTCCTCTGCATTCTCTTTATCAGTCTGGGCTTTAGCCATGAAGTCATCCTGCCTAGCAAGTTCAATGCAAATAGGGTACTTCTTATTCCAAATTCGTTTTCGTGCCAGACTTTTGGGAACCAGTGAAATCTGAAGGACAAATGAGAGACTTAAATTCACTTATTTTGCGGTTTTATCTTTTATGTTTCAAAAAGTCACGTGTATAACATTAGAACATGAGACTGACAGATCCTACACCAGACCTCCTGGGTTTAACTGACACTTAATCTGTAGCTGCTTGTCATCCAATTCACCAGGTCTGTGGTGAGTCATAGCATTTACAATCAGAAGTTGTGACTTTTAGAATGGGAGGCAGGGAATAAAAGAAGGTTTTCCTCAGTGTCTTCTTCATCCTTCTCTCCCTCCAATTACAGTCCTCTGAAGCATAGTTTCCTCCTAATCTCTACTGCCAAGGTCCAATACTAGTGTAGCATCTTCTTAAAAAAATCAATTACTTCAATAATGAGGTATTGATACATTACTTAATATAATGTTCATGGAATCAACTTCACAAAGCAGCTTCTCACTTACTTGAGGAAGGCAAACAACTTGTAGGAAAACTATTCAAGCATTATCCTTGACACACATTCACAGCTGCAAAATCCTAATTCAGTGAAAGTGAAATGCAAATGCTGTCTGAACTGCCTTGAGGCAGAGACAACCAAGGATCATGCATTCCACTGTAAGCTTCAAAACAGTCAACAAGAAATCTAACACATAGTGAACAATCCTATAACCACCCAGGTGTTCTCTTTTTCAAACTGACAAAGGAAAAATCATGCTTTTCATTTACATGTAATACGGATGCGTTTTCCAAATCCTGCTCAGTCTTTTACAAGTTTGTGCAAACAAAACTGTTTTTGTAACTGTGATAGTATATGTAACTAGAGTAATGAAAAAAATGAAGTTTCAAAGTACTCTGTTAAAAATCAGATATAAGGAAAGCACACTCACCTTGCTCTCCGTAAGTTCATAAATTTTCTGGCTGACATACGTGACTTCAGGCTTTGGCTCATTGTACACAGCTCTTCTAGAAATATTTTTATTAGGTTTTGAAAGCCTTAAGGTGCTTCCTTCGAGTCGCACGTAGACAGAATGAGTCAACGTTGCATGGTATGTTTCTGGATCATAATTATAAATTTCATTCATCCACCCCTAGAGAGGAAAATAATCGTTAACAGGCTTTTAAGCTGCCAGAAAGCCAAATACAGTATGCACATAGAAGTTTAAAGGTTTTAAATAATTATCCAAGCTTTTGTCAAGCTTGTGTCACAACACGAATACAAAGCAGTAAACACACAAAGTGAGGTAGCACTCAGCTGACAGGGCATGAGATGAGGACTACATCCCAAGCACACAATCTGGTTCTCCATATAAGTCATTTTGTGTGAGCAGCTCCTCACCTCCAGGAGCAGCTCTCACCCCATCCCACTGCACTGCAGGCACGGGCTGCCTGGGAAGGCCATGGGCCAGCTGGGAAGGACACGTGCAGAGCAGCCTGTCTGCTTCCACAAAGCTCTGACACGTTAATCGCCAACAATGAGGGCAGAGCAAGCAGCCTGCTTACAGACAGCACCAATGCTGTAATCAGCCACAATCCAGAACCACGATGGAGTTTGTTTTAATGCAGCGCTGCTGCTTTACATCACTGAACGTGCTGTGCAACCATGCAGTTGCAACACAAGTCAGACGTGGGGATTAAGTTTCAGCTATTCCTCTGCAGTGAGGAAAAAAGAAAGCTACAGAAAACAGAAGAACAGTTGTGGCTGTAACCAGGCTGCAGGTATTGATTCCAACCACGGAGGTGATGTCACTCTGCACTAACATCTGCTTACACAAAGCACAGGATGACAAGCGAGGCAGGACCAGCCAGAACGCTCATTCACAGCAGACAAATTTTCCTTCTCTTAGCCTGCCAGACAGCATGCTTGGATAACGACCTGTACCTGCTCATCAACACCTTAATTTTGCACATATTCATTAGTGTCAATAGACAGAGGAAGGAAGGCTTCCAGGGAGGTTCCCTGGAGCACAAAGAGAAGTGGCAGCTTTATGGGTACCCGGGGAGCTGAACCACATTCTTCAAAACCACCCAGAAGTTCTCACTATGTGTAAAACATCCCAGATCTTACTGCCACATTTTAACTTCTTGAATAATTTTCCACCCACACACTGAAATGCAATGTTTATTTTAATGCTCACTTGCTCCAGCTCCATACAGACAGCACACCCTTTCTGAGATGCCATAGTAACAGTGGCATCTATTTTTTGCTTACTCTGACACCTAGTCCTATTTTCACCATAAATCCTAAAAAAAAAGAAAGCCACCTGGATCAATTAGCATCCTTTTTATGTTCAGGAAAGATTAAGTCATTCATCTCCACTCAGCTCCAAGGCTGATGTCCTCATTATTAACCGAAATACCAATGCATGCTCTCTGAAGCAGCTTTGTTTGCTGTTTGCTTACACAGGGTTATATACAACTGCTACATAAGGAATACAGTGCACAAGAAGGAGCTCTCCATAAACCATCAGGGTTCTGCACAGCAGGGCTGGTGTTTGTTTGAGCATATCTTATTTGCTGTTGTATCTCGACTATTAAGCCAAGAGATCTTCGAGCAGACAGCAATTAATTTGCAGCCAGGAACTCCAGCTGGACTTACTGAAGCACGAGGACATAAGTGACTTGCCTTGAGCCACTGCGCACCATCCGTCCTCTCAGTGCAGAACCAAGATATCCATATGGCTCACAGGAATCTGGACAGGCTCCCACCTGCCCCCAGATCAGGTCTCCGGGCTATTTCTAGCTCAGACAACAAGGTCTGGAGGCCTGCAGCCAGGCAAACATGCAGACAAAAGTTCCCTGTCTTAAAAGCTTATCCTGTCCTGCAGTGAAGCTCCACTGAAGAGCAAGCAAACCTGCACCAACAGGAAGGAACGCACGGAAAGGAGCTCATGTCACAAAGCTAAGCCACAAGGGCTGGTTTTATAACCACCACAACTAGAGCTTGGCAGGAAGAGGGCTGGAAACCCCTGAGAATGCAGGGTTCCCAATAAGCAAGGAGGGAGTACAAGTTTCTCTAAATCTCACATGAGACAGAAGCAGCTGCAGCGTTCTGACAGCAGCACTCAGCTCAGTGGAGGAGGTGCAGCAACGAACAACATCTGATTTATGCACTGCTCTCAACACCACAGTACCACACTTAAAAGCAAAAACCCACAAGCATAGAGATAAGACCAACACCTCTGTACACACACCACATGCATAAGCCTTGTGGCACTTTCTCAGCAGCTACACAACCATTATCCAAGAGCCTAATGGTCACGTTTGAATGGCTGGTAGTAAAGGGGACTGCATTAAGCCACTGTGTCACCCACTGCACCAGCACCTGTCCTACCCAGCTTCTCCCCTTTTGAGTTTCCTTATTTCTAAGGATGCGTTCTTGCCTTTTTCCACTCACATTTCAAGTTATTTTGCAGCACAAAGACCATGCAGCTCAGAGTGGAACACTAATAATTGCCCAAATGATGACTCTTTACTCTGTTAATGAATCTGAAAACATCTGCCTGGCGCAGAAATACTTTTCCCCTCTATCCAACAGTGTTAAGAGATAGGATGATACCATCTGCCCCCTCATTTTCAGCATTTTGCACTGTTATATGGTAAACCACAAACAGTTTTTAGTTACTCCAAGTAGCCCCAATTCACTCCAACTCTCCACATTCTAAGGACAATTCCTTAACGTTTCTCTTTGCAAAAAGAAATTGAAACAAAAGATTCACAACCAAAGGAAACTATTTCTCAATGCATCTAAACAGAGAAGTTCCATTCCTGTAAAGTACCAGCAACAGATAAGTTCTGCCAAATTACAGAAGCAACAATGGATTTCCTTGTAGAGGAGAGACTGTAGGATGGGGTTTTTTCATATCAGTGAAGTTGTTAAAATGAGAAATCTAGTCATGCAGGGAGGACAATGCCCCCAGTCATACATTGCTCTGCAGCTGCTTGCCATTTGCACCGATCCTGTGATCTCCAGTTCTGAAGGTCAGCAGCTGCTTGGAACTCACAGCTGAAAATGGGAGAAAGTGCCACCCGAGCAGCACAGTACCAAACCTGAAAAAAGCATCTGGTCAGAGCAGTGGGAGGCACTGCTTTTATAGCAAAGGCCACAGGTGCTGTTTCAAACACAGACACCACCAGGATCTGGCCCTTTTGTAGCAACACCAACCCTGGCTTCCCCAGCACACACCTCACCTGGCACAGCAGCACCACTGCTACACCAGCCCACAGGGGGGAAGAATTACATACAGAACACTATTTCTGCAGTTCCAAAGACATAAGTAAAAGCATCAGCAAGCCAACTTCACAATACAAGCCCACCCCTGGATCACAGCAGCCCCCAAGTTTGGTGAAATTAGCAGGTTGATCAGAAGTCATTATCATTAAGCAGTACTGCTAAATGCTCCAGCACTCAACTTGTAACATTTCTGCACAGCTGATCACTCACTGCATTACTATCTGTCTCTGACCACTATTTTGAGATACTACTGCAGGATTCTGTTTGATAAATGAGAAAAATACAGGGCAGATTTTTGAGTTTTTATTGACATGGAATCTACGGGGAACAAACCAACCAAAGCAAGGCCCAAGAAGGGCAGAAGTAACCATCACCTGCACTGAAAACGTGTGTGCCATCAGAGGCCACAGCCCAACACAAAATCCCCAGAGTGCTGCACAGGAGCAGCATGCAGCCAAAAGCTCCTCCTTCTGTACTGCTTCATTCTCCTGCACTGCCTGCCCAAAAGGTCTTCCTGATGGAAAGGGTGCATTTATCTGCATTTTAGCTGTTACTTAAAACCTTTCGTATCAGCCAGCACAACACAAGGGAACACACATTTGAAAACACCAGCAGTGAGCTTAGAAGAGCCAAATGCATTAGAAAGTAAAAAAAAAAAAAAAAAAAAAAAGCAAAACCAAAAAACAATCTGTGGATGGGGCAAAGAAAGAAAGGAAAAGGAAGCCAGAAAAGTGAATCTGTGGGAATAAGAGGGCAAGGAAGCGTGCTCTGAAGTCGCAGGGGGACTGTGTGTGCTCAGGTATTTTGGCACCTGCTGGTGGGGAACTCCCATTTTCCACTAGATGTTGAAACTCAAGGAACCATAACCGCTGTCTGAGAAGTTTGCATGGCAGAGAACATGCACATGCTCATGCAAAAATAGCATGACAGTGGTTTGGCAGAATCCCAACTTCCAGAGCCCCATAAAGGGGCCTTACTTCTAGCTCTTAGCATATCAGCATGAAATCAGGTCAGGCTGGAACAGAAGTTCTGAAGACATCATCCTCATGCAAGTTTCCTGCATTCAGATGAGTTTTGTTACAGGTCAAACCTTTCTCCCATTTGGCAGAAGATCAGAACTGCCCAGTATTGTTTTGACAGAGGCAAATATAAAATATTTGTACAAGGAAGGAATAATTTGCAACCTGCTAAATCGTATTGTAATGCTCCAGTACGAGCTGCAATTTCAACTCATGAAGGATTAAAAAGTGCTTTTATAGGTTTTTACATATTAAAGACAATTACCATGTATGTTAACAAGCACAAGTAGTACTCATTAGGTCATACACAACATTAATCTACATTCGTACAAATCCCTCTGCACAGTGCATTTCTTGCCTACAGCTACTCTCTTAAAACAGACCTCCTGAATAGAAGCATTAAAATGTATTTAAGGTTCCTGACTAACAACTAACACCTCCAAGAGCCACATTAACAGCAGCCAACAACGATTACCAGGATCTTTATTGACTTTCACGTATCAAGGCAAACTGACACGCAAGATCTCAGCATCCAATTAACAAAGGACAAAACTGAAAGTCTGTCAAGATTTGTACATGTAAGCAGTGTGTATATCCAATGGGTAGGCAGGTGCATTCAGTCTGCATTCACAACAACCAAAGACTTCAACTCACATCATTCAAGAAAAATGAGGAACATCAAGATAGGTGGGCATGCAATTTCTGTCTGCAGCCAGCAAAAACTGGCTTTTATACTCCATCCCTAACTGTTTAATTAGCTAATCCTTAAAGATATTGAAGCCACATATATTCTAGAATACTAAACCATTACAGAATCCACCCCTCAAAGCCAACTAACCCTATGGAAACACTAGAAATACAAAAGGTGATAATTCAGATCACTTACAACTTCAGAATATCAAGTTTACTGCTCTGACTCAAAATACCATGAGCTCACCTTCAGTATTTCAGGTTCTTTGATGTCTAGAGCTCCTGTATTCCACTGCCTTTTCATACTTTCACGAAATTTGAGATATTCATGAGTACGTGGAGTAAGCAGCCAAATCACACAGATAGCTGTCATAAATCCAAGGGCCATTCCAAAGAGGAGTCCACTTAAGTAGCCAGGGAGAGGAATAATAAAGTAAGCATAGACTAACAGTGTTAAGAAGTATAAAGTTTTTACTGGTATTTTAGGCTGTTGCACATACAGATTATTTTCCTCTTCACTACTGAGCATAATATCATTTTCATCAGTCATCTCGAGATCAAGCAAAGTTTCAGAACGTTTATCGGTTTTGCTTTCATCCTCTATCAAGGAAAAGTCTTCAGAATAAAGTTCACAAAACTCCTCATCCTCTCTGCTTGCTAGTGCAGACAATGAACATTTTTCAAGTACGAGTGAAGTTTTCGAACTCACATCCTTTGTGCTTGCAGACTGAGAGCTTTTGGACTCTGTCTCTTTTGCATGTTCCTCAGCAGTTTTTGGCTGACCGTTCTTACTCACGTTAGAGTCACTTCCATACAAATCCCCTTCGGAATCACATTCCTCTTCCTTAATGCTGTAGTTGTTATTGCTTTCCAAATGGCCATTCAAACTGGAAAGGTTTGAGAGTTCTGAAGCACTTGAAGATAAGGCTTTGGGCCTGTGGCTACTACTTTCATCACCCATTATTTTACTGAGCAGCTGAAAAGGCTCATAGATTACTTCAGAAAGGCGTCTTTTAGTATCTTCAATTTTAGCCTCCATTTCAGGTACTTTAAAAAAGGAACGAGTGTCAGAGGGAGATGTTAATGGAGATGAGGGAGCAGTTTTGGAATCACCACCTGTAGCTCGAGGCTGAGTGAACTGTTTGAACAGATGCAAGTTCAGTTTTGAGTCCGGTGGTCTGTATGACACAGCTTCAGATTCTTGTTTAGAAGTGTCTGTAGACAGAGATTTCACTAAGGTTTTCATTAACTGTCTATGTCTCATCGGTGGGGTTGGCTCTTTTGGTTCCACATCTGTTGAAAGGGACTTGACTAAACCCTTAAAAGGCTTGGAACTAGAAACGGTGGACGATGCACTAGAGCAGACAACTGATCTGGAAGGAGATGAGGATGGGGAAGACGAGAAGTTGGCCTTCTGTTCCACAGGTGGTGATGCGCCCAACAAGCTAAACGTATGACACGAGTGTGACGAGGGAGACAGGACTAGTGGCACTGCACTGAGTATTTGGGATGTGGAAGGAGAATCCAACAGCTTTACGGTGTCTGCAGCTGGCAGAACTGCAGGTGATGAGGACAGCAGTGATGCAGAATTGGCCACGTTAAGCGAGGTAGCTGGACCAGAAAAATCATGGCCGGTATGCTCAAAGCAGAGGTCTTCCTTGGCTTCAAGTGCTGTTACAATGCTTTGGTCATCTAGTTCCTCATCAAGAAATTCCTTAAACTCCTCTTCCTCCTCTTCTTCCTCCTTCCCAAATGCAGAGAAATGAATAGTGATGGTTTCTCGGGAGACAGATCGTTGGACCTGCACTTTTGGTGCTGGCTGCTTTGAGGACATTTCACCAGTTTTCTCTGCATGGCTACTGTTCTGACTTGTCATTGCAGGTTCCAGAGATGCGTCAGAGTCTGTGAAAAAAACATAAAACCATGTAAAATGAAGGTTTTTTACGTCTTAAGTAAAGCAAAGCTTGAAACTCAAAGCAAAGACAGAAACATGTACAACTGTTCAGATGGTCTTTTCCCATTTTTTGTTTTTCAGCTATAAGTATAACTGGATGGAACACAAAATTAAGTTGTCTACTTAAAATATTAAGAATTCTAGGACTAAACATCCTTCACAAATGTATTTGAGCAGAAATTTAGTACAGCAAAATGAATTAGATCCAAACATCTCAACAGCAGACAGCATCAGCCCTTCCTCACGGAGCACAGCTGCGTTGCAGTGCAGTAGCTGAGGATGTGTTTTGCACCTGGATGACAACACATTGTCACCACACCACGATTCACCTTCTGACAAACAGGAACACCCAGAGAGAGAGCAGGTGTTGGGCAGCACGTGGTCAACTCAGGCCATGACACCTTTTAGCAGTGTTGCTACACTAACGTGTGCTCTTACTACACAGGGGATGACTAATTGGGATGCCTATTAGTGAGGGAAGGTTTCTGTATTTGTATCGTATCTCCTGCTCTCACAGCACGTGTCACAGAAAGGACTCATGAGAATCAGCTTGGACAATTCCCATTCAAAGACAGGAGGAGGAAAAAGTCAGATTTTACTCTGAGACCTTGGGAGTGGAAGGGTGGGGAGAATACTATAGAGATATCCAAGCAGTCACACTTGTTCACCTTAAATACTTGAATATTCACCACTGTGCACAACATCCAGAATGTGTTGCCTATGTCCATTCTGCTCTCTAACAAAGATATCAACTACTTGTAAAGCAAAAGCAATTCAGCCAAAGACAAACAGATAGAAGCTACAGCTTTTCCAGTAAACTACGGAAAAGCTCAACCCACAGCGCAGGGAGACCTCAAAAGGAGTTAAGTTATTGCAATAATTTTGCTAGTATGTGACTTCTGGCTATGGTAGCAGAAATTTATTTTACAATTCTTTTGAGTAATCTTAACTCTGTATGACTAGTGGGCAATGCTAAGTTTTGACCTATGATACACATCTCTGGTTGCAATCACAGCTGTGGCGAGCAGACAGCCCATACTTGCACGAGAAGTGGGATAAGGTTCACAAAGCAGATTACTTTCAAGAGATAACTAAAGCTTTGGACCTCCATTGCTGATTAGAAGGATATTGGCAATCAGGAACTCACAAAATATACATACATACACAAAGAACAGAGATACTGTACAATGAGGTTCAGAGTTAGCCTACTTCTGTTCTGTCTGCAAAGTAGAGAGCAATCGGGTGCACCTAGACTGTTTAACTGAGCAATTACTCCCTCTCCCATCATTCACAAAGCACAGCTGAATGTGTTTCACAATGTAAACCAAACTTTGATGCACTTCCAAGCTAGCAATAACACCACTTTAAACAATTCATGTGTACAAACATCTTCTGCTCATCATACACTTGGCCTTCAATTGCTCAGTGACGATTCTGCAAGCTACACCGAGCTCCTCAACTAACAAGGACACTCACCTGCTTGCTGTATCCACTTGGAAAGAAACAAGCAGAGCACAGAAGTCATGCAAGGCTACGCAAGGAAGGTAGGAATGATTCAGAACCCACATTCTTACCTTAGAGAAGCAGCACATGTCAGCAACCAAGTCTAAGGGAAAAGTCTGGCATGGGGGAAGAGCAATGTGACCTCAGCCCCAGCCACCAGACGAAACACAGCTCTGATTTGGGCCACTTTCAGCACTGCACATTTAGATCTAGCTTGAGGGTGGGAGCATATTATTGTACATCTACTCTTAGCAACCCCCTGTAAACACAGAAACAAACAACCAATGTTTTCATACACTCTTTGGAAGGCGACTGGGCCTTTCTGCCTTTCAAGCACCCTCCAAATCACTGGGGGTCCTTTCAGAAACTGAACAATGGCATTACTGGTAACCAAATTTCTTCTTAACTCAATTAAACTTGACAATTTCACATCTAAGACAGAGCCAATTTAAATATACATCTATATTTTAGAAAAGAAAATCAAATTAACCCAAACAAAACCTTTTGAAAGGATTCGCCCCCACTCAAACCCTTTATATTACAAGAAGTATCAGGATTGTTTCACAATTGCACCAAAATTCCTCTCAGTTTCACTCAAACTGAGAACCCTTAGCCTAGAATTTTGAAGTTTTATCATCTTAAAGTCCACAGGTAAAAAAAAAAAATATATCTATTTCCAGTTCTCTTCCAGGCCTTGAGAATAGGTTGAGATTGTCTCCTGTTTGTATAACCTCTCAGCACTCATGAATTCAAGTCAGTCATATATTTACACTAGCGAAAGGAAACCTTCTGTTATGAGCATTGATACTTAAAAGGCACTGCACTGCCTACTTGAGACAGCTCCACTGTCAACTTTATAGGCAAAACAAAGCACTTTCACACTAACAATTTAGAAAGAGATTAAACCAATGCACAAAGCAACAAAGCTGGAACCAACTTAAAGGAATAGATCAAAGTTGCGTGCACCATGCTTACTTTATCCACCTCATACAGCTCAATTGAGCCACATTTATTAACTAAGGAAGGAAAATTCAGTAGAGCAATTCAGAGCTTTTCGTAATCATTCATTTGGATGATGATTGCAAATTGGGTAATTGAGTTCACACATTGCAACAGGCCAACGATGCAGTCACACTGCTATGACTTAACGCAACATCTGCGCCAAGGGAAAGGGCATCTCCCCTCAGAAATACCCTTGGAAAAATCTGTAGCAATGTTCATAAACTTGGCAGGGTATTTCCAGGCCTGTTTAACTGATGTTAAACATAGATCAGAAAAAAGTGTTTTACATAAAACATGAATTTCTTCCTTGCTGAGCAAAGAAAAGGCCCTACAGGTTATTAAAAAGCATTTTAATCTTTTTCCCCCTTTATCTATCAATTGCATCAGAAGAGCAAGCCCTAACTGCTATCGAGGAAGCCACCAATTTGATTACTTACAATGCCACACTTTGACTTCATGCAGATTGCCATCACTATTCAAATGGAAACTGTCTGATTACATCTCTGCTCACACCTACATCCCTCTGTGCCACTGCTCTTTAAAGACACAAACCTCTTGGCAAGCTTCTGTCTCTCAGGCTGGGGAAGAAGCAGCAGTTCTTTAGGGGATCTATTTTTTTTCTCTTGCGTTATTCAATAGTCATCTCTAAGTGTCAAACTGAAGACAGATAAATGATTCATACCGTAAATCTATCCTCCATTTGGGTAGGAAGGAGAAGTAATGTGTTGGAGACAGCTATTCCACGAGGCAGAATTGCTACAGAAGATTTTTCTTACATTAACATAGACAGGACAATTCTAATGCCAATATCTTTTTTCCAACGCTGAGATATGGGAGGACTGTTGCTATTTTTCAATACTCATTTAAAGTAAGTAACAGAAAACTCACAGCATCACATAAAATTCCTTCTGTTAAGAACTAGAAGTCTCATTTCAAGTACTTCAAAACACAGCATGAGTATTAGCGATCCCGTCGGTTACAGACATGATTCAGGCCACAGTTGCAGCCTAGGAAGCCAATTCCAGTGTATTTAGTCCAGAATGATCTCAGTGAAGCAGAGATCACAGCTCACGGAACATTATCTGCCATATGAATTTCACCTCATTGAACACATTTATACTGTAAGAGACAAAAGAAGATACAAAACCCAGTTTCAACATCCTTTCTTATCACTCACCATTCAAATCTCCTCTAGAATCTCCACGAGTTAATGTATTCCATGGCTAACACCTACCACTCTTTTAACATCCTCCACTCATTACTTTTAAATGAAGTACATAAAAGCTGTTGGTAATTAGCATCACATGACTGCCCTGTGAAACGCGCGTGCCGGAGATCCAGTTACCTGAAGTTAATACTTTGCAGCTTGCTTTCCAACACAACTAAGAAGAATGTTTTGCTTCACCTTTCAAGTCAAGTGCAACTGAATTTGAGATGGAAACGAAACAATGATAAAACTTTCACATAGGAAATTTGGAGTTACAAACAGGGAAAGACAGGCTTGAAAGAAACACAGAAATATTTTATATCATTCAAGAACTATTGGAAGAATGCAGTCCAATGTGTGCAACAGGAGTCAACATCAGGATTACAACAAACAGCCCACACAGCCAAAAGAGGTGGAGTCACCCTCCATATGCCATACATACAAATCTTCCATAGAGCATACCTCTAACAAAAGTCAACCAGGTTATCACAACTAAACTAGTCAGAATACCTGTAAGAGGAATTCTTTCTGAGCCTCATAAAGGAAGGATTATCTTCTGTGCAAATGCATTTAAGGTTAGGAAAATCCAAGTTAAATAATGAGCATTCAGATATATCAAGGAAAACTTGAAATCTTGCTTAGGACTTCTCATATAAATGTACCACCAATGAGAACGCTTACAATGAGAACTATAAATCAGAGATGCAAGAGGAGTTATTTACCAAAATCTAGAACAGAAAGGCCAGATACAAATTGCAGTGGCAAATAAGTAGCCTGATAGAAGTCCCAGTAATTTTGAATACAGACAATGCTAATAAGGCCCTTCTTACAAGCTCCTATCTATAACGTTTCAAAAAAGAACAGAGAAAAACTGTTTAATGTTAGCTAAGTGGGTCTATTCTATCTTAACATTTTCCCCAAAGACTTCAGAAAGGTCAGCCACCACCTCAGCATCTCTGCCTCCTCCAATAAAAGATTACTTACTATTCTTTCCCACTCTCCTTCCATGACACATCGCTTGCATCAAGAACTTCATAAATCTGCAGCAGAGTTTAACTTTGACAAACAGAAGAGGAAGCAGTTAGAAGCTGCCCAAAAGCCCAGAAAACATTAACTTGCTCAATGCCATTCTGAAGTCTGAAGTGACACAGCATTTATAAGAAACAGAACGTTTGAAATGAGAGAGAAAAAAAGTTAATCCAAAGCACAAACCAAAACATGCAATAACACACAGAACAGTAACCAATGGGAGGAGAAGAGTCACTGCCTTGCCATTTTTTGCAATATTTATTCTTTTAACAAGGACGTGCAAAGCACAGAAGGCTGCTGCCAACTGCCCGCAGTGCAGCTGCAGCACAGCGGGGGCTCCCAGCCCCTTCCAGCCCACAGCCTTGGGTTCCACTCACAGGGTGCTGCTGGACAACAGAAGCAAGCCTCAGCACCAGCAGCCAAAGCAACTCACATTGGCACTAGATGAAGCACAAGGCCACCAGCAAGTCTGCCACAGCACGAGACTAAGCTAGCTGGGAAAACACAGCAGCACAGTGTGTGCACGTCCCCAGAGCTGGAAGCAGAGGGCTGCAGGTAGCAAGGAGAAAGGACTTCAGCAGTGCAACAAACCTGATGGCGTGCCTGGACAGCAGCTGTGTAATGTCACTAATGGCACTGGATTCCCAGTTTGCACAAGGAGAACACATTCAACTTCCAGCATGCTTTCCTCCTATTAACTATTTTATTCTTGTTTCCTCATCATCCACAACTGCTAGCAATGTGTAGCATCTTTTCCATCCCAAACTCTCCTATTTAGTACTCCCGTGGAATAGGATTTAGAAATAAAGGCACTACAAACAGAGCAGTGGGACAGATGGAGGATGAGCCTGTGGCACAGCTCTCCCTGCCCAGCACAGCAGCTGGGTTAAGCCCATCTCCCAGAGCTGCTGCACCAGCCACCAACACACCCTTCCATCACATGGTAGCATAGTGAGCAAAAGAGCCCACTGGTTCCCATGCAATCCAGAGCACTAAACACAGAACTGCTGCATTTGCTCTCTTCTAAAAGGGAAGAGAGGACAAATCTAAATTACTGGTACTGCAGAAGCTGCATATCTTTAGAATCATAGAATCACCAAGGTCAGAAAAAAGCTACGAGATCATCCAGTCCAACCATCTGCCCATTACCAGTAGCTCTCACTAAACCATGTTCCTCAATGACACAAAAACTGAAAAATATTTACACCTCAAAAAATTACATCTTATTGAGAGGCAAATGCTGAGGGATAGCACCAGTGGACACAGCAATAACTCTCTCCTTATCTCACTGGGGAGAAAAAAATAAAAGAATCCACTCCTCATTAATCTGATGAAAGATTACCTAAAACCCCTTTGGATTAGTCCACATTGAGAATGCTGCCCACATCACTGATTAAATTAAAGGTCACTATAAAAAACTTTGGGGGAATGTCACTAAGTGACCTACAGAAAAACAGGCTGCTCTGAATCCTCAATCAAGAAGGGTTTACCAGAATGGTGTTACCCTCATTCACTCAACCATCCAAATGAGTCTTCTCTTTCCTCACTGCTTCTCTCCTCAAAAGAGGCGCAGATGCCTTCGGGTGCCCAGGACCTGCATGCCCCAGGCACGTTGTTACCTGAGGATTAGCTGCTCTCTGACCTTTCATCCTCCAGTTCTGGTGGTACTTTTTCAACTGCTGGACAGCAAATCCCCAGGCAGTTGGCAGAAAAAGTAAAGAAAAACAAGTAAGCAATGCCAGGCTTCGTGCAGGAAGTTCCCACTTTGCACGGGAAGGAGGATGGCATCTACCTTAGATACACACAAATAAAGAAGCATTCATATGCACAAAGGTAGCTGCACTCTAATGGGAAAGCTCATTAACCTAAGGCACTCTGGTTACACAGGCCTCCTTCCTTCCAGCTCACCTACCCACAGGAAGCAAGAAGAGTCTTTGATGAATGCAAAAAAAATGCCTTCCAGATAGGGCAGACCAGAATTTCTCAGAAGTCTGAAGATGTAATCCCCAGAGGGCTCCAAAGGAAAGGTCACTAACAGCACATCTTCACATCCAGCCTTCTCAGAGCTGTGAATTTTCAGACTTTGAGAGGTAGTGGAACAAAAGGAATTCAACAGTAATTCAAAGCAAAAGTCAGCGTGTTCTGCAAGATTTGTTTTAGTTCTTAAACAGTTCTTCCTGCTTCAGGTACTTCAGCCAGAAGGCAGCCTTGCAAACAGCTCTGCTCTGCCACCCCAGGCAGCCCTGCCTGCCGCTGGGTGTGAGGAAAAGCCAATGAGGGTATTTGCTGCAACTCATCTGCCTGGAAACTGCCAAGGCAAGCAGCACACATCAGTACCATGCCACCAAACAAAGCTCCACATGATCTGATTTGGGAAGGAAATGGTTTGCTGACTACATTTCCAGACTTCTTTGAAGAATCTGTGCAGGTAATCACATTATTTGGAGTTTTATAATTGTAAGGGGAGTGAGAAAAAATGCTGTTACCTCACTGACAATCAGTGCTCATACAGTGCCTCAAACTAATAAGATCGTATAGAATCTACTAACTTACCAAAAGGGCAGCAGCAAAGACTAAAAACCTGCTGAAGGTGACACAGCCCATCTCATTCTGGCAACCAGTATGCAGAAATCATAAGCTACCAGTAACAGCTTAATATATTAAGCTTTCCTCCCCAAAGCATGATTGGGGTAATTTGTGTTTCCAAAAGCTGAGATACATTTTAATTGCAGTATATTATAGGTCAATTACAGACTGCCTGAGTGCAACAGCTGCTTTACAGGCTTGATTCTTATTGAAATCAACTGAGTCAGAAAATGATGAGCACCTCCCACAAAATATTTTTTTAAATCTTAATTGCTAAGAAACTACAGCAGATAGATAAATCAAAGAAAAACAACTTGGCAAGTTATCTGAATTAACAGCATCCTATTATAGAAAAGAAGATATAAAGACACTGCATCTGTCATAAGAAAAAAAAAAATGAGCATGCTGTGAGGACAGACTGGTGCCTTCACGTACCTCAGAGCCCTTTTGCTCACACCCTGACACAACAAAACCATGAGAAAATCCTTCCTACTCCATTTTTCTCTCTCAAAACGTAAGCACTGGTAGCACCCTTGGAAAGATGCTTCATCACGTGAAGTCTCAGGAGAAGTAAACAAAATAAGACTGGGAGGAATATGAACTGCATTCACCTTCAGCACCACGTGGCTACCACGGCACCTACCTGCTTCTGAACTTAGGATAAAAATCAAAGGTTTGAGTTAATCACTTTCTCAAGTTTTCAGCACTCTGCAAAGTGTTCTCACTCCCCCGGTGAAAAATAGTTTCCAAAGATCATTAATGCAGGATGCAACGCAGCCATCACTCATCCCTTTCAGCAATTATTTGTCCCTACAGGGTTTAATTCACTCATCGAGCACGCAGGCAGACGTAGGCCCTTCTCACAGGGGACAGAAGACCTCAGGCAGATTAGGGTTAACAGGACAACATGTGTACACAAAACCACTCCTCCAGGCCTCTGTATGGCAGACACAGGCAGCAGCCCCGACACACAGAGCTGCAGGTCCCACTTCCCTACGTGGGAACAACGGGAGTTGCTTCCAAGACCCCATCTGACAAACCCAGCAGCTGAAAACAAGAGCAGACAGTCAGTGCCTCAGGGCCACATGTACCCAGATTCCATTGCTTCCTGCTGTATTAATACTGCAAGAATAAGAAAATAGCTTCTTTTTTGCCTAATAATTTTTAAGAATTCCAGCTCTACTTCAGATTCAACTAGTATTCATGCAGGCTTGCTGCTTTTACTCTTCTTTGTACTTTCTTCAGTTAAAAAAAGGACCACAGTCATCCTTTTCTCAGCCTGTATTTGCTATCCAATAAGCAGATAAATCTTAGTTATGTTTATCTAACAAAAGCTGCCAATGACTTCAACAACATAAAAGTTTCCACCATTGCAAAGATAATATCTGTATTCTCAACTACTTGATAAAACAACCGAGAACCAATTCTCTCCCCTGTACATAGGTTACATTTTGTGTTCACATTCACAGAAAAAGCGTCATTCAAGTAGCTGCAAGGAAATTAATTGTAGGTCATCAACGTTAAGGTCTCAAATTGCTGGGAGATAAAAGAACAGAAAGCCACCAGATAGACTCAAAAGGGTAAAGGGAAATATCTGTCTTTGAGCCACATCCTGCTTTCTTCGATTACAGTGTTATGCAGGCAGTTCTCATCTCAGACACAGGGTAACGGTTTTGTATACATATTTAACACATCTACCCCACACTCTTTAGTTGGAGTCAATCAGCTATAACAAACTCTAAATTACCTACATTAATAATTCAGTAAGTGCATACATACTTCCTCACACATCACAGTACAGCAGGGGTGCAGTCATTTAAGAGAGGCTTTTAATTAGTGAGCAGTCCTGTCAGGAAAGCCAAGCACAGGTGTCAGCTCTGCCAGTCTTCCAGGATGAGGTGGCAAGCAGCTGATGACTGGAGTAACCAGGGCTGCCTCTGTTATGCTATATATAGTTAAGACTTCACAGACGGGCCTGGGTGCTCTTTTGGGGAAACTGAAGAGCAGTGCCAGTGGAAACCCAGAAGTGCAATGGAAATCTTTTCACCTTGCATTTACCACCATGCAGTGAGACGAGTTCTCCATTCAACAGCCTCACTGCTAAATACACTGCTTGTGGCACCTGGAAGCAAGAAGCAGACTTTAAATATATATATTTTATATATATATATACATACATACACACACACACCCCATGAGAGTGAAGTAGTAAAACAACACCCACAGTGCTGTACAGCCATTTACTCTTCTTTACCATCTTAATTTTGAACTTTTTGGTTGGTAGAAAGAATAAAAAATATCTAGCTAGAATTTTAAAAAATCTGGCTACTAGATATGACACTGAAAAGTGATCCCAACAGAAATCACACACTTATAACATCTATCCAACACTCAAGAACCAACCCTTAAAGCTTCACAGTGAAAGGTCAATGCAAGCAGAATTTATGCTTTTAAATCTAACCCAATCTTTTCTTACACTCTCAGACTCCATGTGTTTTTCTAGCAGTGTTAGGCATGAAACTTCAGCTTGCCTGTAACACCAGTTAGGCAATGTTACAGCACCCTGGAAAAGGAGGTTTGTTATTGTAATGGGAACAGTAACAGGAATTACAGAACAGGAGATGGCTGTCATGTACAACTGCTCCTTTCTCCATTTACATCTCTTGCAATTCACACAAGTAATAAAATGAATAGTGTTATCATTTTCCTAAAAGTGCAAGAGTTGCCATGCGTTTGCTCAGAAGAATTATTAAAGCCCTGGCAAAACCTTCATTAACCAGCACACTTTTGAGCTGACAGATCACCTCCTCTTCTTTCTTATCCCCTTCTCCCAGTTCACTTAACACTTCAAGCCAAGTTCAAGAAAGACGTGTGAAAGCAATTTGATAACCAGTGCCACTGAGGTGGTCTCGGAATGATAAGCCTTATCAAACTTCACAGCATTTACAAACCAGGACAGAAATACACTTCATTTACCACCAAATCACATCTACGTATGCATTCAGCCCCAAACGTTACACAAAAGTATTGGGACAGAATGTAAAATGGGTTGCATGATTTCCAGGCTCAACCAGAGGATACTGTGAGCCAAACCCAGGCAGCAGCTCCCACTGCCTGCTGTCACATGTCAGGCACTATTTCCCAACCAAACCACCGCAGCAATGAGCAGGACTATCTCCCTTCCTCCCACAGAAACCTTACTGTTTGGGCTCATAAAACATTATTATTCCTCTATCTTAAACTTGACTTCCAATGACACAAAATGATTTTTGCAGCTATTTAATTTCAGACTATAACTTCATTTCAGCTCACAACAGGATGCAGTTGAATGTTTCAGCCTGCCATGATCTGCTTTGAAATTTCCAGTGTCAAAGGTAGACAGTAGCCTGCTTTGTGCCTGTATTTTTGCAGTCCTGTTCTAGAACTGAAACTAAACATAACACTCAGAATGCAGAATAAGATCTAGAGTCTCAGAGCTCTGTCCTCTGCATAAGCTACTTAAACCCAATATAGCAATTTTTAGGATTTGGACTTCTTAGAAGGATTTTGATACTGTTTTCTGAGACCCTCTTTTAAACTTGACCATCCCATCTTCTCACAGCTCCAGGATAACAATCCACCACCAACAGGATAAGTGGTCCAAGACACCCAATACTTACACCAGCACTGAGGGACGCTCTTTTGCCATGTTCTTGTCATCCAACACCAGCGGGGTCAAAGGGCAGAACAGTTTATAAACCACAGAGCCACTGGGTAATGAATATTAAAGCCCAGTTCATACAACAATTCATTTGTGCTACCCTCCTGGCCCTTAAGGGAGAACACCACTGTTTACTACATTTAATTGATCTTGCCATCCCGTGTCCCTCAGTCACCTTCTCTTCTAGAATGCCAACTTATGCAGAGCTTGGTCCAAACCCAGGCGACTCCATTCATTTCCAGGTCTTCTGAGGAACAACACACCCAAATGCTGACTCTTCAATTGGTTTAAGTATCAATCCTCAAAGACCCCAGGTGAACAGGCACACAAAGGCATGGCCATGTAGCGCAAACTCTTCTTTGTTGCCTCAAGTCATCACGGGATCTTGACTGATAATTATTAACTTCCTGCCGTCAAAACTCTGAGCCTGTTAACAGAAGCCTGCGGTACCTCTGATGGACAGACAACACTGTGCTTAGCAGTCCTGCCTTTGCTCCCTTAATGTCAAATACTCCTCCAGCTGTTAGCCTGGAGGCACTGTCACAGGGCAGCAGAAAAGAGATTGCTCCCTGGGAGGCAGCCTTCGCTCAGTCAAACTCTGGAAGAGGTTGAAGTAGTTAGAAAGCACTAATAGTCAAAAAGGCACCTGGAAAATAAGCTATTTTCTGCACACAAAAGGCAGTGAGTAGGAGAATTAGACTAAAGGAACCAAATCTAATAAAAAAAAAAAAAAAAATCAATAGAGCTACTAAATTGCTCTCCATCAAATTCTTTTTTAAGTCTCTCCTTTCTCATAATGCCTTAGAAAAGCTTAATAGTTGTACCATTAATACACTAAAAATCACTGCCTGCCCATATTTTCTCACTATTGCCTTCATTTAGTCATTGCTGCCTCCTGAAATACAAAGCACTTTAGAGAAGAAAGTATCTTTTTCAATCATTGTAGAGCACCTTGGAAAAATGAAGTGTTTTATGAATCGGGCTCCCTGATGCTATGTGACACTGCAAGCAGGTTGATGTTTTCTCCAGAAACGTAACTGAAAGTTTAAAATACAGTGATCTTCCTTATAACCTGAAATATCAAGATCTGACAGAGATGATGCCCTACACCGAGTGTGGAAGTTACATTTATGCTTGTCATTTCTTTTCTACAGCACTTTTATAATAATAACAAAATAATTTACGCCGAAAGAGAACTCTGGAGTCAGTTTGGTCCAGCTCTCACTCAGCAGGGCCAACGTTGAGCCTTTTATCAAGGGGAGGACCCCAGGATTAAGGTTAGTCACACGGAATGTTGCAGGGCTGGCTCTGACCTTCAGAGTTCTCAGGTGTCAATGTGAGAGGGAGTACATGAAAGTTCAGACAACTCTGTATAGAGGCTTTTCTTTGAACAGCTCTTTCACCGTGTCCCAGCACAAAGCCAGTGCTGCCTTACTTAACTCTCTCATTTGCCATTAAGTGCTACATTCTTCTTCAGCCCTGACATGTAGCAGCACTCTCTCCATATTTCACTATTTCAACATCTGCCCCCTTGAAATCACAAGGCATTCTTTCTAGCATCCATTTCACATTACCAAGAGTAAGAAAAGTCATTGTTCATTCCCTTTATTGGCCACACATGGCATGCATTTCCAGAGTACGTTTCTACTCTGAATATATTATGGCTCTTCCAATACCAGCTATGTGCTCATGAAGGCTCCCAGCATTAACTCTTATCTTTATTTCGCTCATCTCTCAGTCTACATTACACTCTCCTTTTCCAACATACATTGTCATCTAATTGATTCACCTTGGGCAGTAAGGATTTCCAGGACATAATGCCTTTATTCAAGGATAAATGTTTCAGAGCACACTGAATTAACATTACCACTTACTGCAGATATCTGATAGCAACATTTCTAGCCTGCCAACAGAAAAGAAGAAAAAAACAGAGATTTTAAGCTCCAAGAACATACATAAAACCAAAATTTACTCAACTTATTTCTCATTCCCTTGAACTAACAATTTATCCTAACTGAGAAGCTCTTTCCTTCAGCTCCTGGGCAGGTATAGCCTGCCCCACACCACAAGTTACATATCTCCTGGGCCACAACAGGCTAAGGCTTGGTCCTCAGCACTGCACAGAGAACAGGACTGGGGAACACCACCACAGGAACGTGCCTTTACATACGTTCAGTGCTGAGCTCACAACTGGTCACCTGTCCATCCCACACAAGACAAGGTCAGTAACCTCTCAGGCTTGCTGGAAGTGATTTCTTTACTCTGATTTCACCTAACAGATCAGGTTCACGTAGCATAGAAAGGTGAGGCTACAGCAGCACAATCTCAACATCTATCAGCATGATTTTAAGCTTATTCCTGTTACTTTACCCTTTTTTACTAATAACTTTCACTATCACCCATTGCTTTATTTACACTTAAAGCATAAAAGGGAAATTACTCGCACTGAACATTCGGCTTATGTTTCCAGCTTCACATTCCTTAGTTTGTAATTCAGTTGTCTTAGACTTCATTTGCTTACAAATGACTGCCATCAATACTCAAAGCTACTAAATAGTATTATCACCCAAACTAAAAGCAGTAAGCCACTGACAAACATACTTCATGGGGCTGTGAACTTCAACTTTTCACTTTGGATTTCATTAATGGATTTTCTTTTCTAAAATAAAAGCAAAACGGGTCATTTAAAGAAACTCTTTGCGCAGACCGAAAGTTTCCCAGAGGCGTGCTGAGCTCACCAGCACAATACACAGGGGATATCAAGCAGCAGAGTCTGATCAAAGACGCCGTTGAGCACAGGATTATCTTTTTGTTCTTTTGCTCAAAAGACAAAGCTCCTTACTCACCCTGCTCAGAAACACCGTCTCAGACCTCAGCACCTACATGGAGAGTTAATAATGTGCCACCTGCAGCAGGGCACTGCACTGGATCAGCTTTAAAGGCCATCACAATGGTAACCTCTTATATATTACAAATGAACCTCTGTCTTTAAAGCCAATTCTAACACTAAAAGCGTTACTTTCTTTTGCTTAAGTTAAATTCTTTTTATCTTAATTTAACACCAGTTCAGAGACAGCTGAAAGCTGTATTTACACTGCCTGAATTTTATTCAGATTAGGAATATAGTTATTATAAATTCCAAATAAAGCCCTGAGATTGTGAAACTGCCTTGTTTCCCTGAGTTCTGCAGGCAAGAACATCTTGAAAGAGGAGTTATGTCAAGACAGAGGAGTATGACAAAGCATCTTAACAGCATTCCAGGCTCGCTGCGATTTACCTCGCAATTACAACGGGGGAGTTAGAAAAGTTTCATTTCTGAACTGCCCGAGATGACAGCTGCTGCTGCAGCTCCTTCAGACATTTGCTGACAAATACAGCCACCAAAAAGTTGAGCACAGACATTCAGAAGAAACTTCAGACATGATGAAACGACACTGAGCTGCAGGTAAACAGACAGGTAAAATATAATTACATCAACAATTAAAAGAGGCTCGGGAGCCGAAACGCTGACACCCGGGACAAGAAAAAGGAAACACTTCGAGGTGACGGACAGATACGCTCTCTGCCCCCGAGCTCCACCAGGAACACGCGTTACAGCCCGCTCTGCCGCCTGCTTTTAAGCCATCGCTTCCACTCCAGCGCTGCCCCCGGCACAGCGCAGCTCCCGCCCCAGCCAACAGCCGACAGCCACCTGCGCCCCGCCGACCCGCGCCCAACAACGGCACCGATAACAGCGGGGCGGCCCGCAGCCCCGCGCGGCTCACCACAGGCACCGGCCGCAGCCGGGGGGCCCAGCGGTTCGGCCCCCCCCGCCGCTTCGGCCCCGGCCCGGCTCCGCCCCGCCCCAGGCCCGGCCTTCCTCCGCCGCCGGACGCCCCTTCCCCTCCTCGCTCGGCGCCCGCACCCCGCCGTGTTCTCAACCGAGCGCTGCGGCGCCGCTTCCCGGTGCGGCGGAGAGGAGCGCGGCGCCGCGCGGGGCGGCCGAGGCGGCGCGGCCCTGCGCTGCCCTGCGCCGCCCGCTCCCCTTACCCGCGGCTCATGGCACTGCCCGGCGCGGCCCCGGCGTTCCGCGGCCCGCGCCTCCAGCGCCGCGCCGGGCGGCAGCGAAGGGAGGAGAGGCGGCGGAGCTGCCCGGCGCCGCCAATCCGCGCCCCGCGGTGGGCCGGGCCTGCCGGAGCCGCCGCAGCGCCGGCCGGAGGGGCGGGGCGGGGCGCGGGGCCGCCGCGAGCGGGGGGAGGCGGGGCGGGCCGCGGCCTGGCGGCGGGGACGGGCGGGGGGCTGAATCGGCCCGAGCCGAAGTTTCGGTGCGGAGGGAGCGGCGACACGAGGAACGGCTCCGCCAAACGAGAGCGGCGGCTGGCCAGCGCGGGGTTAATCGGGATTAACTCAGCCGCTCGCTCGGAAAGCGTCCGAGAACAACGAGCGCCGTGCCCGGCGAAGCGCGGGGCCGAGGCCGCGCCGTCCCCCGTTCCCGCCCCCCCCGCCGGGAGCTGCACCGCGTGCCGCCGCTCCTGCGGAAGGCCGAGTTTAGTTGGGGTGTTTCTCGCTGTGGGTTCTGTGGGTACATTTTTAGCGCCGTAATCACCGACTGCATCATTGCGTGGCAGCAGCTGCTGCCGGCGGGAAGCGTGTGTGCGAGCAGACAAAATAGAAGTTGTTTGGTATCAAAACAGTACGCGAATGTTCAAAATGTGTTACCCAAACAGCCGGCCTTTGCTCTGGGAAACGCGCTGTGTCAGAGCACGTTTTATGCCCTCCTGGTATTTCCCAGTTTGCAGCAGACTGAGAAAAAGGTTAACTCCCTTTTTCAAAGGGGTTTCGTTCTCATAACAGTCTCGTGCAATAAAAGACTGCAGCCCAACCGCTGCTCTTCCCTGTACAGTGTTGCTCTTCCTGTAGGAAACCGTTCATTGCAACATCTTTCACTGGGTTGGACTGTCCTGGCCTCAGCTACCCAGGTTCCTGTAGCTGCTCTGTGGATTAATGGGGCTGCGACAGCTCTCCTCGCTCCTTTTCTCTTAAACAACTCAGGTTTGAATAAAAACATGAAAAATCCTACAAGGCCTTGTGGTGACGAAACCAACGTTAATCTGTTCACTAGCCAACATGCAATGGAACACAAGGGCAGAACTCCGAATGCTCCGGACTAGCCAATGCAAAAAGCTAAACATACAATATTACTTTAAAAATAATTGACCATTCTATCCACAGCTGTATCTCAGTCAAGGTTGGCTTCTGTTATGCCAGGCATTAAACATACAGTGGTCTTAATTTTGCAGCCTGACTCAGGAGTGGGTGCAGATAACACTCCTGTTGCTTTTGCTCTTTACGTTTCAAGGACAGTTCAATGCCTGTGGAAATTAATTCTCACTAACCATCTTTGGGCTCTTTAGGGCTCCTAGAAGCTCTCTTTAAACCTGCAATTCCTGCATAGAGTCCTAAAAGCAGAGGTGTCAGCACCCAGCAAAGCGTGGTGAGGGCCGAGCTCACCAAATGGAGGGCAGATCTTCGAGCTGTGGCTGTCCCAGCCGTGCACTCATTGTCTCACCTCTGCCTGAGCTGAAGGAACCCAACAGAGACTGCACTGTGTGATCATCATTCCATCCGTTATTATGCAGTCATTTTTAAAGTTAAAAATATAGCGTTATGTTTAAATATATGTAAAAACGTATTCTGTCATCTAAGATAGGTTTCTTTTTATAGCTCTCATAGTAAATAGGCAGAACTTTGAATCATTATACAGAGCTGGTATTAGTGTTTCCAAAGTCTGAAGATAAGATAATGGTTGTTTTCTTTATAGGAGGTTATCCCTGCAGGAATAGAAGCTATGGCTGAAACAGAGCAATGGCTTGTTTTCAGCTGTGTTAAACTGTGACCAATTCACAAGAAGCTTTTTGTAACCTCTGTAGCTCCTGACTTAGGAATCATGTGTCCTGAAAGGCCTGACCTCAAGAAAAAAGAATATGTTTGAAGTTGAGTGCTCGGCAGAGGCTTCTTCCGGAAAGGGACAGAGCCCGAGCAAAGGGCGAGCCATGTGGCAGGGAGCTGAGACGTGAGCTCTTACCTGCCTTGGAGCTCCGTGGAGCATCTCGGCTGGGAATCCTCCTCTGTCACACGGCAAAAGGAAGAGTCTCTGAGTTTGAGTCATTCCATGTTGTGAGAATAAATCCTTTTGTTGGATAATTCATTTTCCATCCAACCTATAAAAAGACGAGAGAATAAAGCCATGTCTATGTATTTTTAATATTTCCGTATCCCATATGTAAATATGCAGTCACATTGAGAAACAACAGGCCTGCAGGCACTAGAAATAGGCATCTCCAGTCAGGAGCTGCGTTTGAAAATAATGACTTTAATCTTTCAGAATATGTGAGGGAGACATTTAAATGCCTTCTAAAAGCAGCGCTTGAGCGGGACTGTAAAGCAAGAAGTAATATTTCTTTCCCAGAGCTACCGTGAGATTCAGTACATTTCTCTGTAACATCCCCATCAGAATTTCACAGCTCAGGACAGTTTGAAGTTGGTACTTTTGTGAGAAGAGAACATTAGAGGTTGTGCCTTGGCTTTGCAGAAGGTTTTGAGGAGGGTCAGTGCGGGCACTGTGCTCCCCTGGGAAGGCCAGCAGCCGCAGGGCAGGCCTGCTCACCATCTTGTGCTGCAGAACTTTAAAACAAATGAGGCAGCAGCTGTGTCTGCACACATGAATCGTGACAGTTTTGTATGCATGAGAACAGCTTTACTGTTGTTTTGTTGGCTTCTCTGCACAGCATCAAATGCAATGCAGAGAAGTTTCACACAGAAAAACAAGCAGTGCCTCTGCTGGCTTGGTGCAAGGCCAAGGCTTCCTGCCGGCCCTCACCTGGTTCTGACTGTGGCTATGGAGCAGTATCAGCTCCCCAAACAAACACTCTTCTTCCACACTGCTTGTGTGCCAATACATTGGTAGGAGAGCAACAGCCTCTCATGGCTGCCAGGTTATAGCAATGCACAGAACAGGCTGCAGCCATCTAAGCAGGGAGTGCAGAGCCAGAACTCTGGCCAAGCACTGCCAAGGTGACACCTGGAGCTCCCAGGACAGTGGAGCAGCTGGATTGCTGCAAATTTGCATTGGTGCTGCTCAGGCCTGCAAAACCCTCCTGATGCTTCTCAGGCTGGTGCCATGCCTGACACTGCATCCCAGCAGGGAAGATACACAGGCTGCTGCACACCCCTCTGTGGTGCTGCCCATCTCTGGGGAAGAGGCGAGTCCATGAGCTACAACAAACAGCCGTGTGCACTCAAAAAGCCACGTGCATGCTGCCAAAGTCGCATGAAGGTTGCAGGAGCTGGTATCTGGATTTCAGTGTACCTGGCAATTGCACAAAACTCTAAAAGGCTGAAATGTGATCTGCACACGATGGAGAAGTCAATACTTCTCCCTCTGCAGAGACCTTTGTGGGTTAGGGTATGCCGGCTGAATGCTGGAGCACGTCAGGGTACAACTGTAATAAAACACAAAGCTGGGAGGAGGCACAGGAGATATAGTGACAGTTCTGTACATTTTTCCTGCACAGGCATGAGCCAAAAGTCCTTGACAGCAACGGCAGATGATACAGACAATTTTCTCTTAATCAGAAAAAGCAAAGCACAGAATTAACAGCAAGCATCCTGACCTTTTAGCTGACAAATTGTTCACCTATTTTAAATCTACAACTAAATTTAGTGCTCCTGATACAGAACAGCTGAAGTCACAGGTTTAAACCAGGCAAATACACAGCAACTTTTCCACAAGCACGGCTTTAACACCAGTCAGCAGTGCCTTTCTGCTCTTGCCTGGACAGATGCTCCGGTTCTACACTGGTGTGCTTAATAGAAATGGTTACTAGAGAGGAAAGAACATTGGCTATAAAATAAAAATGAGCATCAGGCTGAAGATCCAGAGCTCCAAATCAACTTGTCCAGTATTCAAGAGAAGCTAGATGCATAACATTTAGAGAATATGGCAGAACATGTGGTCAGGTCATCCATAACAACTTTATTGTCCCTTGTCTTCACAGGAAAAGACAAAAAATTAATACAAATTAATCACAAGTGTGATTTAAATGTGTTTACTAAAGTTAAATAAGAGCCCTGCATGAATGCTGTTACTCAGTATTAAACTGAGTATCAAACTTCATTTGATTTAGTTTCCTTCCATTTCAAAGTGAAGTATCCTAAATCAAATTAATGTTCACTTAATTCTCAAAAAGAATATCTGCATAAGGACTTAATAGAATTTAAATAATCTACTTTAAAAGTGATTCAGGTAAGGCTTCCTGAGCGTCCCCTCTGAAGACTCATATCAGTAGGCTTAATGGGAAGTGTTCCTGAATCATGGTTGTGTGAGGTCAAAACATCTGTCAGCACTCACCAAGAAAGTACTGATGTGTCACTCTGAGAGCATGAGCATCTGATCCACAGCTGAATGTCTGCCTGACCACGTGGAACCAGAAACTGTAGGATGGGGTGAATTCCTTGTTTAAAAAAAAGAAGAATTAAATTCTGAAGAAATTTTGGTTTCTTCAGCTGAGATGGAGAACTGGTGCAGGTGTAGCCTTGCACAGGACATCCCCTGTGTTCTGAAGATGTAAACAAAATGTGCACTGTTTTTGCGAGGCTGATATAATTTAGGCTGCTGCTATCTAATGCAAACAATTTCACGTTGTACGTATGATTTCATATTTCATATGATCTTGGTTTTTTTTCACATTTAAGAGCTGCTCCCTGCTGTTCAAGAGTGAGTCATGTCTTGTTCAGAGTATCATT